CAGGTGGCCCTGAGGGAGCTTATAAGTCAACCCTTTTATTCATCCTCCTGCTGCCGGTGTGCAAATAACGAATAAACAAAGATTACTATTCATTGATGGTATAATCTACTAAACGTTTGCTAATTGACTATTTCTGCTTACTAGTGTTTGGATCTTATTAGTTATTTGAAGTTGTATATCCTAAAGCCATTAACTTTGTGGCCTATTTCTTTGAATGAGCCTAATATAGAGGTGTGACTAAAGAACCATGTTTCTTGCATTATTATTCTATACTGTTGAATTATGTCTGAACCCAGAGTGTCAGAGGTGTCGGGAGGCTTGCAAGGTCAGGGCAACCACTGGGAACAAGTAGCGCTACACGATTGTAAAAAATAATTTTTACAAAATAATAAAAAGTAACATAATAAAACTCAAAAACTACTGGCACCATCCACTGCTCTAGTGACACCAACCTCTGTTCCACTAATACCAACCACTGCCCTACTGACACCATCCACTGCCCTACTGACACCAACCTGTGCCCGACTGACACCATCCACTGCCCTACTGACACTGTCCACAGCTCTACTGAGACCGCCCTCTGCTCTACTGACACCATCCACTACTCTACGTACACCATCCTCTGCCTTACTGATACTGTTCTCTTCCCTACTGACACTGTTCACTGTCCTAACGACACCATCCACTGACCTACTGAGGCTTTCCACGGCTCTAAAGACACCATCCACTCTTCCACTTACACTGTTCACTGCCCTACTGATACCACCCACTGCCCAACTGACACTGCCTACTGCCCTACTGACACCAACATCTGTCCTACTGCCACTGTCCTCTGTCCTAATGTCACTGCCCCCTGTTCCGACATCCACTGCTCTACTGACATCGTTAACTGCCCTACTGACACCAACCTCTACCCTACTAACCCTATCCACACACTGTCCACTGCCCTATTAACACTGTCTATTGCCCTGCTGACACTGTCCACTCACCATCCACTGCCCTACTGACACTGTCCACTACTCTACAGACTGACGCTGTCCATTTTTATGGTAGGCTATGTTTATATTTTTACATTGACATCTATTTTATTATATTTTTATATTTTTGATTACTATTTAGTTAGGACTTGCTAGTTAAGAAAATGAGGGAGCTGAACCCCAATGGTCTTTTTATCTCTTTTATGTTGTTCAGGTAGATCACCTCTCAATGGTTGCCTACCCATGATGTAACACTTTTGGTAGTTAAAGTCTAACTAAAGGCAAAGGTTTATTTTATTGCTGCTGTCTATGCCCTTGTTAGGGAGATTCACCCTCTCTATTAGTCCTGTTTACCATTATCACTGAAAGTGAAAGCAAAATAAGGGTTGTCCCCAAAACAGGAATAGAAGGGATATCTTCTAATGGGGACACCAGTTCTGGTGACCCTAGTGATTTTCTTTCACTTCCTGTTTTGGCTATGGGACAGGAAGTGAAGAGAAGTCTTCCTAATGGGACACAGAGGGCAAAAAAAACCTTACAGGGGTTATAACCCTCCCTTACTCTATCCAAAATGAGAAGAAAAAGATTTGTCTTTAGTTCTACTTTAAGTAGTACATTTATTATAGAGGTCTACACATCTGTACAAAAAAGGGAATACTGAAAAGGGAAGAGGGTCTGTGGGAATAAGTTCCAAGAGAGGGGCAGTCTCTTCAAATGAGGGGTAGCTGGGAGGTATGCACTTAATGATATATAATTTATTAGGCCTGCATCCTGCATTAATATATGTCTGCCTGCAGTTCAGAATTAAATCAGTACAGCAGAAGATAATCAGATGAGACATGTTAGTGCTGGCCAGTAAATACAGTGTGATTTATTTAAAGCTGTTCAATAAAACATTCAGAATATGCATACAAAATGTAAAGAACCAGGGGATCTGCTCTGAGAGTGAGCATGGTTGCTAGTTGTGTGCTCATGCCTCCTGCTGTCTAAAATTGAGTTTGCAACTCAGGCAAGCTAAGATACTCTTTTGATGTAATTAACCACTTCAGCTCTGGAAAATTTGCCCCCCTTCATGACCAGGCCATTTTTTGTGATACGGCACTGCTTTACTTTAAGTGACAATTGCACGGTCATGCAATGCTGTACATAAATTAAATTCATGTATTTTTTTCCCACAAATAGAGCTTTCTTTTGGTGGTATTTGATCATCTCTGCGTTTTTTTTAATTTTTTTGCGCTATAAACAAAAATAGACTGACAATTTTGAAAAAAAAAAAAAAATATTTTTTACTTTTTGCTATAAAACATCCAATAAAAAAAATAAAATTTCTTCATAAATTTAGGCCAATATGTATTCTGCTACATGTCTTTGCTAAAACAAAATCCCAATACGTATGTATTAATTGGTTTACGTTAAAGTTATAGCATCTACAAATGGCGGTATATATACTGGAATTTTTATTCATTTTATTTTTTTATACTAGTAATGGCAGCAATCAGCAACTTAGCGGACTTAGGACTGCAGCGGGTGTTCTGACACAGGGTGGGAACTGGCTAACTGCCACTGACATCTCCAGTGACACTAATACAGTGATCAGTGCTAATAAAATATAAATACACTAACACTGTATTAATGACACCGGGCAGGAAGGGGTTAACATCTGGAGCGATCAAAGGGTTAACAGTGTACTGTTTGTGCTTACTGTGTAAACTGTGTAGTGCTTTACTAAAGAGACCTGCTGCTTACTATCTCTCAGCTGTGCAGAGAGATTGAAAGCAGCACGGCCATGCTGACAGAAGAGAGTTCTGTGTTGTTTACACTCAGATCTCTCCCCTCTCAGCTTCACCAACAATCACTGAATTCTGGCCGGGACTTGGTGACTGACATCCTCAGGAGCCAATGGTAGTACAGGTAGGGTGGCATGCGCGCATGTGTCCCCTACCCGCAGATGCAAAATTGAGTTTATTTACTTGATTTTGCACAGCGCGGCCACCCTGTAGCAGTACATCTGTCTTAAAGTGGCTAAAGGATAAGTTCACGTTTGGGAACATGTCACATGTTCCACCCGTTTTTAGGGACCTGGTGATTGACATCCTCAGGAGCCAAAAGTAGCGTAGGTAGGGCGGCGCGCACGTGCGTCCCCTGCCCGCAGATGCAAAATTATGCATAGTTACATGATTTTGCACAGCCGCCCCATAGTAGTATATCTGCTATGGGGTGGTCTTACAGTGGTTAAAGGATAAGTTGACCTTTGGGATCATGTCACATTTCCACCCGTTTTTAGGGTGGAACATGTAACATTTTCCCAATGCTGCAGCTGCTGCCCAATCCCCAGCCCCACCCCATCTGTGACAGCAGTAGGGGGAGAAGTTCCCTGTAGAAGCTGTCACTTTTTATAAATAGCTAGGCCGTGCGTGGCTCCATTCACATGGCCATGTCATTCATTCACAGACTTCTGTGAATTAATGAACTACAAGTACCAAGATCTTTTGCGGATGTCGGCTTGTAATTCTCAAAGAACTACAGTACCACGGCGCTGTGTCACCAGGCTAGTACATCCAGCAACAGTGTTCCTGATTACCTCAACACCGGCTACAATGTCACCGGACCAGTGCAGCCAGCAACTGTGTACTCCATTCCAGGGGCAGACTGACAACTCATGGGGCCCCCGGGCAATAGGGGATCATGGGGCCCCTGTGTCCTTGCCCAAACTCAAAAAAGCCTATGAAAAAGGTACAAGGGGCATCTCATGGGGCCCCCTACTGACCCTGGGCCCTCGGGCAGTGCCCAAGTTTCCAAATGGTCAGTCCGCCCCTGCTCCATACACTAAAGCAGATTGCTTGCGGCATAATCCCCTAATATCGAATCCGATCCTGAATTTGTCAATTGTCACTATGCTGTTTTGTGGTATTTACTGCAAAATGCTCAAGCAATAGCCTGCATGCATGTGCCTTTTTTTGCCCCCTCTGATAAAGAGCACATCTACAGTAATAGGAAGAAGTATCACTCATTCAACATCCAGATTGTTTGTGATGCAAATATGTTCATCAGAAATGCGGTCACTGGCTTCCCAGGATCTGTCCATGATGCACACATATTAAGACAATCACAGTTCTACCACCATTTTGACAGTAATAGAAAAATTGGAGACTGGATTCTTAGTAAGATAATTTTTATTAGAAAATATGTCTCAATGCATGCCACATATATTATTATTATGCAGGATTTATATAGTGCCAACAGTTTATGCAGGGCTTCACAACATAAGGGCAGACAGTACAATTATAATACAATTTATTACAGGAGGAATCAGAGGGATCTGCTTATTAGAGCTTACAATTAAAGAGGGAGCAATCAAATTACATCATACATGGATGGATATGTTCATACTTCTCACACATTGCAGACAGACAAAATATACACATCAGATTATTTACCTTGCCTCATCTAAGTGCTAGTGATGCCTGTTAAAGAAATAACTAAACCAGATCCTGATCCTGGTCTAACCATTTCCACCTCAGCCAGTTTACATATGGCCTAAGGCCTTTCCATTACAATTATGTTTAGCTATTAAATACAAAATGTATGGAACAAATGTTACTTTTTTACCCACACAGCATGGCCTACTATTGTTGTTCAAAAAAATGGAATTTTCAAATGGTATTTTAGGTGATTCTGGCTAACCTTGTCTGCTCTGGCCACTAACACCACTCTTGAGGTGCTCAACACCTGCAGAATCTTGCTACAATGCAGTAATTACTAAGACAAGATGTGTCCCTCAGTGTACCTTTGGTGTCCTTAAAGCGGAGTTCCACCTAAAAAAACAAAAAAAAAAGTCAGCAGCTACAAAAACTGTAGCTGTTGACTTTTAAAATACAGCCACATACTGTACCTGTCCCTCAGTCCAGCAGTGTCTTCACCACCGCTGGTTTCACCAGCCGTCTTCTCTCCCTGGACCTGGCATCTTCAGTGTGGGCACCCGGCTGTGACAGCTTGCGGTTTTATAGCTGGGTGCCCACTGAGCATGCTCGAGAAGCGCTGAGCTTTGTGAATGGCCCCATAGTCTTCTGGGACCTGTTGAGTTTCCCAGAAGACTATGGGGAGGGAGGACAACTTCCACTTCCGATCGCCTAGGCAATTGCAGTGGAAGTGGGAGCGGGTACCTGTCAAATTCGGGTACCTGCTCCCCAAAGGTACCAATCCTTAATGGGGAGCAGAGACAAAGACTTAAAGCGGAACTTCCCCCTTTTGGGTTGAGCTCTGCTTTAAAAGTAGGTTACACTCTATATTGCTATCTGGTGGGTTTCTTTGCTATAACCCAGAAAAAGTTGGCAACATTTCTGTTACGTCCTTCATAACCATAGTGCAGGATTGCTTCTAAATACTGAAGATCAAGACACTGATGAGGACCCTATTCCACCAATCCATGTATCCTATGATGATGAGCGTGACCATGAAGTCCGACAGCGCTTCATACAAACCATTTTTCACGGTATGTATCAACTCTTACTATGTAAATCTTACCATGTTGTTTACTCTGTTTTTGGAGAACTGTCTGTGATTGTTAAAAAGGAACACAGGAAGTAGCACCATTTCAAGCTGTCTGTAGCCTCCTCACTTCAACACAAGCTGATCATTTCAGCAGATTCTGTGGAAGCTCTGAGCCCTTGGTTGAACATATGTCACATGTACTGGCAATACTTTCATTCACAGGAAGGATGGAATTGTTAAAATCAGCCAAGTTTATGCTAAATAACAGACGTTATTTTTACATCTCAAGCATAAAGTGAAATACTCAGCAGCTGAAAAGTATCTTTGTGTTCTTCATAGTGCCCCAAAGATAATGCTGTCACAGACAAAACCAATCCTGGAATCAGCAGGTCTCCCACAAAGTCTCACTCATCTAGAAGAAACAAAAGCAAGTGTAGCACCCTGTAGTTTAAACAGAATTTTTGTTTGTTAGTCAGAGGCTTGCCAGAAGTCTGGGATAAGTCAGCCTGAGAGTGAGGCAGTGAACCTACCTCAGGACAGGCTGGAAGGCTCTACAGGTCAGGTCTTCTGGAGCCCTTCCATCTTTCAGGAAACTGGAGGAACTTTCTAGAAATGGGGAGGAGGAGGGTAGGAGGTCTGGATTTGCATGTTTAAGTGAACTTGGTCAATACCCAGGCAGGAAGCTGGGCATGGTGGCTAAGAACATCCCTTAAATGTGAGAGAGCCTGTGCAGCAGAGTAGTTTTGGAGTCGGGTGGAAGATGGACTGAAGGAAGGTGCTGGAGTTTGGGCCTAGGGAGAGGGGCCTACCTGCAGGCTGGTGCTCGACAGAAGGATCTCCACTGTACCACACGTTTCCTAGGGAGTACATCTTGTCAGCAGAGAGCCATACCAGTGTAAGGCCTGAAAGCAGCTGCAACCCACTAAGCTACAGGAAAGGACAGTGTGAGCACGTCTACACCCCTTGGGGCACAGAAGGGAGAGGGTGGTTAGGTGCAATACCCAATTAGTTCTCCTCTGATGGGACTGCTTTACAGTAGCTTCTGGAATCCCTTACTCAAAAGGATACCTTCAGGACTGCTGGGGTGGATGAGAAGAGTTTCATCTGGGGTCTAAGGACGTACACCAAAGGGATGCTTCATTAAAAGAGACCGTTGCTGATTTTTTTTTTTTGTCCACATTTTATACAGAGTTTGCTAAGAAGTTGTCCTCACGTTTTACAGTTCCTTGCATCCTATATACCAGTGATGGCGAACCTTTTTGAGCCCGAGTGCCCAAAACTGCAACACAAAACCAACTTTTTTTATTTCAAAGTGCCAACACTGCAATTAACCACTTGCCTACCGGGCACTTCTACCCCCTTCCTGCCCAGACCAATTTTCAGCTTTCAGTGCTGTTGCACTTAACAATGACAATTGTGCGGTCATGCAACACTCATTTTTTCACACAAATAGAGCTTTTTTGGTGGTATTTAATCACCACTGGGTGTTTTATTTTTTGCACTATAAATGAAAAAAGCAAAAAATTAAAAACATAAAAGGTTTTCTTTGCTTCTATTATAAAATTTTGCAAACAGGTAATATTTCTTCTTTGATGTGCGTTGGTGAGGCTGCACTAATAGGCAGCACTGATGGGCATTGATGAGGCGGCACAGATAGGTAGCACTGATGAGGCGGCACTGGTGGGCATTGATGATGCACTGATATGCAGCAATGATGGGCACTGATAAGCGGCACTGACTGATAGCACCAACTGGAGGCACTGACAGGTGGCACTGCTGGGCAGCACTGACAGGCGGCACTGCTGGGCAGCACTGACAGGCGACACTGCTGGGCACTGATGGGTGACACTTCTGGGCACTGACAGGTGACACTGCTGGGCACTGATGGGTGACACTTCTGGGCACTGATGGATGACACTGCAAGCAGTTAATCTCACCTCTGGCAGTGTCGGTGTGGCTTCCAACCCAGCAGCTCATTCCCATCCACGCTGAACACATCGCCCCTTGCCCCGGAGCAGTGTGGGAGCCTCTTCCTCTCTTCCACGCCCATCCCCGGCAACATCACCCCTGGTGCCAGATCCGCATAGGAGCCGTTTCCTCTCGTCCACACCCACCCTGGCCCCAGAGACATGTGGGAGATGTATTTTTTTGGGGGTCCAGTGTGGACGAGATCTGGATGGCCGGTCAGTGTGCGTTCATCATCCTCTTCTTCCTGGCGTGCCCACTGAGATGGCTCTGCGTGCCAGCTCTGGCACGCGTGCCATAGGTTCGCCATCACTGCTATATACCCCTATACCCCATCCAAATTGTTAACCCCTTCATAAAAACAACAAAAACAAGCTCAAAGACCATTTTACTGACCCTGAGAAAAAGTGTGGAAAAGTGTGCTGCCTGGCTGTGCAGAGCTTAGGGGGACCCAATCAAAGCCAGTGGCCCTCAAGAGGGTAGCGCTACACAAGGTTAGTCTAAACCTCTGAGAATACTAAACTCAGACAAGTAAACATGTTATTATCATCATGTAAATCTCTCAGTAGATCTGTATTTCAAAAGCCTTCACTATCTTGGCAAGTGACAACGAAGAACAGTCACAAAGGACCAGAGAAATAAAAGGAATATCTCCTGCGCCACTAGATAAACCACTATGATACAGCAGCCAGCACTAAAGGTGCCACAATCTAAACACCAACAATGTACAGAGAATCACAGTATGAGAACAGTGCGGTGCTTATATAACCCTTATAACACCTGATATTGGATATCCCAAATATCTTAACACATATATGTAATAAGTGATAAGCTGGTGATGACATGCAATATAGTGACTAAAACACAATAAAATGAATGGTGTCCATATGTATATAATATCATGCAGGTGTAACTGCAAGTGCCAATCCTCAAACAGGTGGAGTGCCCCCTCACCTTCCTGCCCAGGCCCCTAAGGACCAATGAGCCTTTGAATATATACTGGATATTTCCCCTGAACGTGGTTGGATCCTTCTGCTGGTGGGTCCCTCAGATGACAATAATGGGCCTCTCCTTCTCTTATCTCCTATACAGATCGTTGGTGGTATCGATGGGTCTCCCTCCCTGTAACAAACACAGAAAAACTCTTAATTACATGTGACTGGATATGTTCACTGTAATCACTAAAAAACAGCATTTAGGTCCTAATCAAGTCAATTACATAGACAGCAGTACTGAAGGGGATAATGCTGCTGCAGACCAAACTTACATGCCCTATGGTGAAGAACACTCAAGTGATAGCAGTGCCAGTTGCAGGAAGACACCTCTCTCAAGACCCAACAAAAGCAATTATCGGGAAAATTTGAGTGACAGCAGTATCAAGCAAATATCCACTACCCCTAACAAGAAGAGGAAATGATCAGATAGTCGACAACCCAATATGAAGTTCACATATGCAGAAAATGTGGCTCTGGTAGAGAATCTGGTTCTTATGGACGATAAGTTGCTGGGTCCCCACATGCTTAACCTCCCTAGCGGTTTTCCCGAGTCTGGCTCGGGGTTAAATCTTGCTGTCAAAAGCGGTAACCCCGAGCCAGACTCGGGCTCACCGCAATCTAATTACCTGGTGCCGATCTGTGTCCCTGGTCCTGCGCTGCTAGCAGCCATCCCCTCCGTCCGTCCCCAGTCTGCTTCCCTGGTTGTCGGCTATATCATGCTGATCAGTGTGATCAGCGTGAGTCTGCCATGCTGTGCCGTCGGGGGCGGGGTTTGCGGGAGGCAGGAATTTATAAAAATAGATCACTGTCAAAAATAAAGTGTTACTCTAGTGCATACATTGCAACTCTACCTGAGATATATCCATAGTGCAGTTTTTTTAGTTTCTGCGACTAAAAACGGTTTTGCGCTCATGGCTTTCAAAAAGCGCCTCGCTAGCGCTAAAGCGGTTTATGATGAGCTAGCGAACAGTGAGGAGCTACTGTCAGGAATGGACTCACCAATAGTGGTGGGACTCACCTGCCTTGTGGGTTGCAGTACCAGGACTGGACAGCGGGTGCTCTCAGCAACCAGAGGCTCACTCCTGCAGTCAGCCAAAACACCTGAGGCTGATTACGGGAGGTGCATATAAGGAATGGCCAGACTTGCAATCAGGGCCTTGGTGTAATGTTTTCCCAAGAGCCCCTGTACCTGCATCCTGTCGGCTTCCTGTCTGATCCTGCTTGATCCCTGACTCTGATTGAACTCCGCCTGTCCTGACCTCTGCTATTCCTGACCACTCTCCAGTCTGCTCCTTTGGTACCTTGTCTGCCTGATTGTTCCAGACCCGGCCCGTCTGACTATGCTCTGCCTGCTCCTTTGTACCTTGCCTGCCCGTTTGCTACCTACCCGGCCTGCCCGACTACACTTAGTATTGTTCTTTTGTTATCTGTTGGGGGTTTTGGTTTGGTTTGTTTGCACTCTGTTTATGTTTAGTCTTGCACTGCATTTATGTATTGTTTAGTCTTAAATAAATTATATTGTTTATACTATATCTGAAGCCTGCGTTTCCCTGTGTCAGTCCACACACCTCTGGTCATACCCGGAGCCCTGACATTACACCAAGGCCAATCCTGACCAGAAGTGGCTGCACAGGGAAGCCATCTTGGCTTATTGTTGCTGGGAAGGATGCATCTTGATGAGGTGGTGTATTTGTCGCTGCTGGTCTTTGATGACAGAGATTTTGCTTATCAGACTCTGAAGGAGTATACCAGGGATCAACTACTAGAGTGCATAAGGATCGCTCATTGCCTAGTAGATCAGGGCACAGAGTTCTCTGAGGTGCAACCATTGATTCAGGTTTGTGCAGAGTTGGTTTCATCTGGTACCCCCCGAAAGCAGGGATGAATTTTTGCCGCCATTTAGTGCCGACCAGGTAGAGTCCCTGGTATGGTTATTGGAGGATGATGTAGATGACTTTCTGGAGCGTTATTCTGCATGTTCACAACAGGTACTAAGAGACTGTATAAACGCAGCGCAGTCTTTGACCAGACAGGCTTTGTGTAAGCTGAGCTTTGTTCAACCCATACTGCAGACATGGTCAGATTTGTTGCACCCAGCCTCAGTCAGCTTGCAACATCATTCCTCTGCTCAAGGCACTCTTCCTGCATCCCCGACAGCACCCCCAGTGACTGCCCAGTATACTCTGCTAACTACCACATATCAGTCCCCTGCTCCCACTCGCTGCACCTATCCTTTCTTTAACTTACAAACCTGCGCTTACTTGCTGTGCTCCAGTAACTAAAACCAGGAAAAAGCGAAAATTCTTTCCAACCAGTACCATCCTGCCAATATCCAAACCGGTCAGCCTGCCGTCTGAGAACCTGCCTTCCGTGGTTCAGCCTGGTGCCCCGGCACCCGCAATTCAGCCTGATACCCTGATGCCTGATGACCCAGTGTACGCTACCCAGCCTGATGGTTCTACCCAGCCTGATGGTTCTACCCAGCCTGATGTTCCTACCCAGCCTGTTGAACTGTTCAAGCCAGAAGATCCGATGCCTGATGACCCGGTGCCCATTGTCGAGCCAGATGACCCGATACCCGCTGTCGAGCTTGACGACCCGATGCCCGCTGTTTTGCCAGATGACTCGGCGCCCGCAGTCTTGCCAGATGACTCGGCGCCCGCAGTCTTGCCAGATGACTTGGTGCCCGCAGTCTTGCCAGATGACTTGGTGCCCGCTGTCTTGCCAGATGACCCGGTGCCTGCAGTCTTGCCAGATGACTCGGTGCCCGCTGTCTTGCCAGATGACTCGGTGCCCGCTGTCGAGCTTAAAGCCCCGATGCCCGCAGTCTTGCCAGATGACTCGGTGCCCGCAGTCTTGCCAGATGACTCGGTGCCCGCAGTCTTGCCAGATGACTCGGTGCCCGCTGTTTTGCCAGATGACTTGGTGCCCGCTGTCTGCCAGATGACTCGGTGCCCACTGTCGAGCTTGACGACCCGATGCCCGCTGTTTTGCCAGATGACTCGGTGCCCACAGTCTTGCCAGATGACTCGGTGCCCGCAGTCTTGCCAGCTGACCCGGTGCCCGCTGTTTTGCCAGATGACTCGGTGCCCGCTGTCTTGCCAGAATACTCGGCGCCCGCTGTCTTGCCAGATGACTCGGTGCCTGCAGTCTTGCCAGATGACTCGATGCCCGCTGTTTTGCCAGATGACTCGGTGCCCGCTGTCTTGCCAGATGACTCGGTGCCCACTGTCGAGCTTGACGACCCGATGCCCGCTGTTTTGCCAGATGACTCGGTGCTCGCAGTCTTGCCAGATGACTCGGTGCCCGCTGTCTTGCCAGATGACTCGGAGCCCGCTGTCGAGCTTAAAGCCCCGAAGCCCGCTGTTTTGCCAGATGACTCAGTGCCCGTAGTCTTGCCAGATGACTCGGTGCCAACAGTCTTGCCAGCTGACCCGGTGCCCGCTGTTTTGCCAGATGACTCGGTGCCCACTGTCTTGCCAGGTGACTCGGCGCCCGCTGTCTTGCCAGATGACTCGGTGCCTGCAGTATTGCCAGATGACTCGGTGCCCCCAGTCTTGCCAGATGACTCGGTGCCCCCAGTCTTGCCAGATGACTCGGTGCCCTCAGTCTTGCCAGATGACTCGGTGCCCGCTGTCTTGCCAGATGACTCGGTGCCCGCTGTCTTGCCAGATGACTCGGTGCCCCCAGTCTTGCCAGATGACTCGGTGCCCTCAGTCTTGCCAGATGACTCGGTGCCCGCTGTCTTGCCAGATGACTCGGTGCCCGCAGTCTTGCCAGATGACTTGGTGCCCGCTGTCGAGCTTGACGACCCGATGCCTGCTGTCTTGCCAGATGACTCGGTGCCCGCTGTCTTGCCAGATGACTCGGCGCCCGCAGTCTTGCCAGGTGACTTGGCGCCCGCAGTCTTGCCAGATGACTCGGCGCCCGCTGTCTTGCCAGGTGACTCGGTGTCCACTGTCGAGCTTAAAGCCCCAATGCCCGCTGTTTTGCCAGATAACTCGGTGCCCGCTGTCGAGCTTAACGACCCGATGCCCGCTGTCTTGCCAGATGACTCGGTGCCCGCAGTCTTGCAAGATGACCCGGTGCCCGTGGTCTTGCCAGATGACTCGGTGCCCGCTTTCTTGCCAGATGACTCGGTGCCCGCTGTCGAGCTTGACGACCCGATGCCCCCTGTTTTGCCAGATGACTCGGGGCCCGCTGCCTTGCCAGATGACTCAGTGCCCGCAGTCTTGCCAGATGACTCGGTGCCCGCAGTCTTGCCAGATGACTCGGAGCCCGCTATCTTGCCAGATGACTCGGTGCCTGCTGCTCCGCCTGGTGGCCTGGTGCCCGCTGCTCCACCTGGTGGCCCAGTGCCCAGTGCCCACTGCCCGCTGCTCTGCCTGGTGGCCCGGTGCCCCGCTGCTCCGCCTGGTGGCCCGGTGCCCAGCCTGATGTGCCTCTGTCCGGTGCTCAGCCTGATGTTCCTCTGTCCGGTGCCCAGCCTGATGTGCCTCTGTCCAGTGCCCCAGCCCTGATGTGCCTCTGTCCGGTGCCCAGCCTGATGTGCCTCTGTCCGGTGTCCAGCCTGATGTGCCTCTGTCCGGTGTCCAGCCTGATGTGCCTCTGTCCGGTGCCCAGCCTGATGTGCCTCTGTCCGGTGCCCAGCCTGATGTGCCTCTGTCCGGTGCCCAGCCTGATGTACCTCTGTCCGGTGCCCAGCCTGATGTGCCTCTGTCCGGTGCCCATCCTGATGTGCCTCCCTCCGGTGCCCAGCCTGATGTGCCTCTGCCCGGTGCCCAGCCTGATGTACCAGTCCTTGATATCCCACCATTTACCGGATCTGGGTGGTGGAACATTTTGCCCATTTAGGACGGTTTGGAGCGTCCTGAGGCCCCTCCTTGAGGGGGGGGGGGTACTGTCAGGAATGGACTCGCAAATAGTGGTGGGACTCACCTGCCTTGTGGGTTGCAGTATCAGGACTGGCCAGCGGGTGCTCTCAGCAACCAGAGGCTCACTCCTGCAGTCAGCCAAAACACCTGAGGCTGATTACGGGAGGTGCATATAAGGAATGGCCAGACTTGCAATCAGGACCTTGGTGTATGTTTTCCCAAGAGCCCCTGTACCTGCATCCTGTCAGCTTCCTGTCTGATCCTGCTTGATCCCTGACTCTGATTGAACTCCGCCTGTCCTGACCTCTGCTATTCCTGACCACTCTCCAGTCTGCTCCTTTGGTACCTTGTCTGCCTGATTGTTCCAGACTCGGCCCGTCTGACTACGCTCTGCCTGCTCCTTTGTACCTTGCCTGCCCGTTTGCCACCTACCCGGCTTGCCCGACTACGCTTAGTATTGTTCTTTTGTTATCTGTTGGGAGTTTTGGTTTGGTTTGTTTGCACTGTGTTTATGTTTAGTCTTGCACTGCATTTATGCATTGTTTAGTCTTAAATAAATTATATTGTTTATACTGTATCTGAAGCCTGCATTTCCCTGTGTCAGTCCACACAGCTCTGGTCATACCCGGAGCCCTGACAAACAGTGTAACAGTAGAGAACACAGGCATACGATGAATTGGCTCTGTGGATCAACATGACCGCATTTCATTCTTTTCTGTAATGCCCATGTTGAAGGTTAGGCCCAAAAGAGTTTTAAATTCAGAAACCGTGATAGGTTTCCATGCAAGTTGTCTGAAAGGAGCTGAATTTGGGTGGGCGGCCATGTATTGTTGTTCGTATAAATTGCCTTGGCCCACAATCAATTGGTACAAATCTTCCTTGAAAAAAAAAAGGGGCTAAACGCTAGTGCTGGCAGCGAACAGGGCCGATCCTGCTTATTCAATCACAATAGTATCAGGAAAAAAAGATCACAAACGAAGGAAATCAAATTTGATATCCCTAATCAAGTCACGCATGGAGTGGATGCCCAGATCATTCCCTCCCATGTGTAGCACGAGAACATCTGGGGATCTATCTAACCTGGCATAATGATGCACCTCAGGCAACACTCTGGACCACCACATGACAGGAAACCCAATCCACCGCACCTGGGCCATCCCCCTAGAGAAACCCAATTGCCTGCCCTAAGGGCGCACAGCCACCCTTTTGACCCCCCCAAAAAACATATGAGTAGCCAAGTATCTACTCCAAACATTCCGATTCTGGAAAACAAAAAACACAAAACGTCACAGGTAACTGCAAAAGTAGTTAACAACACCACAGAAAAAACACGGACACAAACCAACATACAAATCGAGCTACAACACACACTGCTTGACCTCAGTGAAGGATAAGACAACATGACAACGCACCAAAAGGAGCACAAAGGTGAGACACCAAGTCCCCCATCCTCATAAAAGATGAGGATGAACATACAGCCCGAAGTGGTGAGATTCCCAGCAACCGATCCACTGCACCACTCGATCATCCAAACCCCACTTGGCAGCCTCCATAGCCGCCCCAATGCGGAATGAATGAAAAGAGTATTCGTGCGGTTGGAAACCTGCCAACCGCACACACTTTTGCAATACTGAAACAAATTGAAACCTGGACAACGCAGAACCATCCTCATGAATCAGAAAAGGCTGTGATCCCAGTGGCCTCACTACCAACCACCTCCCTAACCACCCGCACTGGACAAGCCTCATAATCTTGGACTCGCCCCAAGTCAACCCAAGCCCCATGACCAGACTGGTCAGTTTTTGAACGTCTGATGAAGAAAGGTACCTTGTTGCCACTAGAGATTACAGTATGTCTTACAAAGCCAATCCCCCACGCCCCACCGTCTGGACTGACAAACCAGATCGCCAATCCACATCACTCCAAAAAACGTCAACACAAAGGCCGCCTTGAAGAGCAACGCCTCGTACAAAGAAGAACATACCTCCTGCAAGCAACCCAGAATGGCCCCAAGCATGTGAAAAGAAATGGGGAGACAAGAATCTGACACGCTTCTGCCCTTACAATAACCCCTCATGGCTTTCTTAACATAGAAAGACTTTGTGGCATCCAGAAACCCGGAACAAGAAAGCCAAGCCCAAAAGTTTGCGATTCATCACAGAGACCGAGACCCCACGCTCAAAGTCCTGACCAAGAAAGTACAGCAAAGCGCACAGGCAATCCTCCTCACGAGGGCAACCACCCACCGAACTTACCAGCTCATGCCAGTCCCTCCAAACCTTTTTATAAGAAGACCATGTTGCCGCACAAACAGAATTATGAATCATACCTGCTATCATGGCAAGGCGACCTCACACAAGTGACTCAGGCAGGGAATTTCCCTTTGCTCCACCTCCAACTGATGGAATCTCTCCCACTGCAAGCGAGACAAAGCATCAGCCACTGTGTTATCAACTCCTGGCACATGAACAGCATAGACAAAAGAATTCAAGCAAAGACACTGTAAGACCAAATGCCAAAGCAGATGAACAACTGGCGATGAGCAGGCAGAAATGTTATTAACAGCAGACACAACCCCCATGTTGTCACAATGAAATTTCACCCTTTTGTTCCTAAACTCCGGACCCCACAATTCCATTGCCAACACTCTCGGGAACAACTCTGGCAGGGCCAGTTTCCCCAAGAACTCGCCCCCGCCAGCCGTCTACAAAAAACTCTACCCATAGGCATAACCTGACAAGCAAGATTCAACTTACCCAGCAAAGATTGTAGGGAACGCAGTTGAATCTTTTTGCAGCCAAGGGCGTCCACAAACTACCCAAGCATGTCCTCCAGCTTGTCAAGTGGCAGACGGCATTCCATCGCCATGGTGTCAATGACAATGCCCAAGAGTTTTAGCTCCGTCACAGCGCCTTTTGTTTTATCCAGCTCCAAAGGGACCCCATACAATGCAAAAACATGTGTTAGCATAGCCAACAGCATAAGGCATGTTCTAGAACCCGTGGGGCCGATGACCAAGAACATGTCCAAGTAATGGAGCACCGAATGTAAACCCAACACATCCCGAACCATGCACTCCAAAAAGGAACTGAAAACCTCAAACAGTGAACAGGAAATTGAACAAACCATGGGCAAACACTGATCAGCGAAATACTAACCCTGCCACATGCAACCCAAAAAATGAAAACAATGAACATGATCCGGCAAGAGGCGAAAAGCCACCTCAATATCCGTCTTAGCGAGAAGGGTGCCTTTCCCAAACTCATGCACTCACGCCACGGCCTCATCAAAAGGATGCATAAGACACAGCAGACAAAGCTGGGTCAATAGCATTATTGACTGAAACCACCTTGTGGGTGAGACTAATGGTGTAAAAGGCTAAATTTATTGGGTTCCTTTTCAGAACCATCCCAAGGGGCGAAACAACAAATTAATCCAGCAGAGGGTAAGGAAAGGGGCCAGCCATTCTACCCATTCTACCTTTCGCAAATTTTGCAGCCACAACCTTGGGGCGTAACTTTAACGATCTTACATTCGCCGCTACTGGGGGAAGGCAAGGTACAGGGAATAACAAAGCCCTCAGAAAATCCTTGAAACAAAACAAGCGCTGCCTTCCGATCTGGGTATCTACTTAGAAACGGCGCCAATTTTTCCACCCTCACTGGAATCCTCCCTTTTCCCAGAATCTGTCGCCCAACCTCTACCTCATTTGAAGCATCTGGACAAAGAATGCGTGCCCCCCACATCCGGAGCATTTGTGGTGAAAACAACAGGAACCCCAGAATCTGCACAATCCTTCATTAAATTGCAGCAAAACTCCTTACGCTTACCGGCAGACACCGATGAGGTGCCAGGTCCCCCCCCCCCCCAGAAAGGGAGTAGGATTGATCCTAGCTTGCATCATGAGCTTCATCCACAAACTGATATCTCTATGGTCCCATCGCAACCGCCTTATGTTGACGATACTACTTGTCATATTGCAACCAAGCCACGCCCCCATACACCCACTTTGCCTCACTGACAGAATCTGGTTAACAAAACAGAGCCGAATAATGCTCGGACGCCTTTTCCCCAATAACACTGGCTAGAATATTAAAAGCTTGCAGCCAATTCGCCAACGTCCGCGGGATAAAGCGAAATCTCCGTTTTTCTTCCTCATCCTTTTTCCCTTCCTCCAGCTTCACCTTATTAAAATTAAACTTTTCCAAAGGCAATAAAGAAAATATTTTGATATATTCCTCTTTGTCAAGGATCTGGATATGACCAGAGATGTGTGGACTGACACAGGGAATAGCAGGCTTCAGGAGTGATGTAATAATATAATTTATTAAGAGCTACACAAGTATACAAAGACGCACAGTGCAAACAAAAACCAAACCTTCAACTAATATC